GAATCTGCCTCGACAGCTTACTAAACTTAGTCTCAGCAAGAGATGTTGGTACTGCTTATATAAAGGAAGCCTCAGATGTAAAATTTTAAAAATGATGGGTGTTTAGCCATTTATGTTTTTAATTAATCTCCTAGCTCCTAAGACTGTAATCAACATTTTGCTGGATGGTTTTCAGTCCGGCTTTTAAAACTCATCACTGTCTGGTCCCAACCTAGCTTTCTAGCTAGGTGGTGCATATTTAGAATGTTAGGTCTGGAGTCAGGAAGACCTGAGTTCGGTTTTGAACTCAAACACTTGCTAGTAGTATGACCCTGAGCAAGTCACTTAATCCCTTTCTGCCTCCATTTCTTACCCACCTCCCACAGTTCTTGAGAAGTTCAAATTAGATGTCTGTAAAGTGCTCGGTAAACAATGGGTGCTTATAAATGCTTGTTTCCTTTCTTATACATTTTTTCCCCTTCCCTCACTCAATGGTCCACTCAGCCTGGCCTTCCTCCTGTCCCTCACAAGGTGCTACACTCCTTGGCCATGTGCCCTTTCATTGGACATTGCCCAGACCTAGGAGGCACTCTCCTCACTTCCACCTCACAGCATTTCTCTCAAGAAGTTCAAGCACCTTATTCTACATGAAAGCTTCCCCAATCCCCACAATTACTAGTGCCCTTTCCAGCTACCTTGTATGTATTTTGTATTTATTCTGTATATGTGTACTTTGAGGTACACATTTATCACACAGTCCAGATCTCAGTGGCCATTATTTATCAAAGACCTTCTTCTCTTTTCAATGAATTCAGTGCCTGGACCACTGTCTTCCTCTCCACCACATCTCTTGTCCTGATACAACAGAATTTCAGCATATGCGATGCTCCCTTAACTACCCTACCTTCCCAATTAATCGATTCCCACGTCCTACTCCTACACTCCACCTCAGCTATCCAAAGAGATGGCCACACGATTGTGTTCTACTTCCATGTTCATAAAGTCTGGAATTCCCTTACTAGCTCTGTTTACCATTCCATCCTTTCTAGGTCTTATGACATAAAACCAACCCTATTCTTCACTTTCACCATGACCATGACCTCCATTCTTTTCCAGGCTATCACACCTGCTCTGGCTATACTCCCCTTCCTTCCCTTCCTTGACCTGCTGGTGAACCAGTTCAACTTGACAAGTATCCTTTGCTCTTGAAGCCCTTGCCCCCTCTCCTATTACTGAAGATATTTTGCGAAATCCCCATCCTGGATTATTCCCACCATCAAATTCCTTTGCTCCTATTCATGTGCTGCTGAATATAGCTGGAGAAAATCACAAAAATATGTTGATTTGGTCTGCTACCAATTTATGTAATCTAATCTCAACTGGGCTCTCATTGCAGCAATTATTTTACTCACCCTTAATCAATTTATATACCCCAATCTCTACAATAACTGTTCTATAATTTCTTGCCTCTCCTCAAGCCACTCCTGGCACATTCACCCTCTACATGGTAGTTGTCTCCTCATATTTTGCTTAAAAAAAAAAACAAAAACGAAAAACAAACCAAAAAACTGAAGCCTTTCTACGAGAGCTTCCTTTTCTCCCCTTTTCATCTCTCCTTATCACATCACTTTGACATCTTCCTGACCCACCCAAAGTGATCCTTCTCCTTGCCAAGGCCAAATCCCCTACCTGAACCCGTAATCCTCTCCTATCCCATCTTATCTTGTAGATTGCCCCACCATCACTCCCACTCTTTCTAATCTTCAGTCTCTATTTACTAGCTTCTTCTCTGCTGTCTATAAACATGTCTACGCCCTTCCCCTTCTCCATCCTTAAAAATTCCTCATTTGATCCAACCATTCCCACTAGCTATCATCTTCATCCATGTCACACCTATTAACTGTGGGTGGCTCCCAAGACTCTCTCCTGAGCCCTCTTACCTTTTCCCTCTACTATCTCATTTGTTCACCTCATCAGCTGCCATGGGTCCCCAGATCCAAATACTCAGTCCTACTTTTTCTCCTGAGCTATAGTCCCACATCACCAATTGCCTAGTGGACTTCTTGAACTCAAAATGTCCAAAACAGAGCTTGTCTTTTCCCTGAACCCTTCCCATTTCCACACTTCCATTAGAATCAAGGATACTACCACTTTCCCAGTCACCAAGGCTTACAACCTGTCATTTCCAACTCATTTGTACTCACCTCAAATAACCAATCTATTGCCGAATCTCGTTTCTACTTTCACAGCATCTTACAAACATAGCTTTCTTTCTACTTAAATAGCTGCCACCCTCAGCACCTCTCACCTGGACCCTCATAACAGATTTCTAAGCAGTCTGCCTGCCCTGTCTCTCCCCAATCCATCCTGTGCTCAGTTTGTCAAAGCGATTTTTCTCCTAAAGTGCAATTCTTTACATATCATGCCCTACTCTACAAAGTCCCTATTACTTCTCGGATCATATATAAACTTCTCAATCTGGAATCTTCCTACCAGTCCAGTCTTGATTCTTTGCTCCTCTCTGTGCACTCTACAATCCAGCCCCACTTTGTTCTAACTTAAGTGCTGAACAGTGAGCCTGGAAACTGTCCTCTTTCCACGACAAACATGTTATCTTTCCTAAACTGGATCCTCACTGAAGTAAGATAATCCTGCGATAATTTCTTAATTAGCTACTTTGCTGACCACAGCAGCTAGTCCAAACCTTTTCATCTTCCCCAGCCCTTTCAGAAGAGGTCCTTGTCGTCCTATACTTCACAGAAATGACACTATTCTTTAACAGCTCTGTATTCTCCCATTACTCAGATGGCTTTCCTCACTATCTTCTTCACCCTTCTTGAAGAAGTGGCATTTCTTATCAAGACAAACCCTTGTCTGTTTGCCCCTGAGCCTATTCATAAGCAAAGGCTATCATCTTCTATTCTGGAATCTATGATTTTTGCTTTATTTTTAACTAGGGCTGCCATGTGCTGGATCATAGAAATACAAGGCCTATAGATAACAGGATTTCATTTTTTTTCCCCCATAGGATTTGAAACAATTGTAGTTCAAGCATAAAGCAAATTCTGTAGCAGCACTGTCCTCAAACAAAAATGGTGGGTTTGTTACATGTTTTTTCCCCCTGGGCTCTTTTTTATGGATCTGAACCAACATGGAACCTGCTACGGGAGGGACCTGTTTCTGCAATATCTGTTGTATGCATGTCTGATACCCTCAAGCTTCAACAGAGTAAATGTTAACTTTTACAAGATGCATTACTAGAAGTATGGAGGTGGGCTGCAAGGTTTGTGGAAGGGACCCAGACATCTTTTTTTTTTTACAGATTATTTCTGAAAAGTTTTATTTATTTTTTTTAAATTTAGTTCTTCAATCCCAGCTCTTGCAAGAAAACCTTCCTGCAGGGAGAACTCGTTTCTTTTGTGTTCTAGATAATAAAGCTAGTGGTTTCTTCTGCTCTTTATCTTGGGCAGTTTAACAAAAGGTTTACTAATGAGGGATTCTCTTCCCATGCACGCTTATTTATGACTGTATCAAATAATCTACGTGGCAGGGTCTGGTCTTCTAATGACCCTGAGGGCTGTATGTTGGGAAAGCAGGCACAAAAATGTCACAGGAGTTCTGATGGAGCCTAAGCAAGCTTCGAGAGCTACATTTTTACCATGTTTCTCTGGCCCAACTCCTAGTTTTCATTCAGGCAATCAGAATAGCAACTGTAGTTAAAAGCAGGAAAGCTCAGTCCTGAGGTTCTTCTAAGCTTTTAGGATGACTGTGTATTAACTTCTGGAGAGGATCAATGAGGTTATCTAGATCAACTCATTTATTTTATGAATAGGGCAAGGGTGGCCCAGGAAAGTTATGCTACTTGCCCAGGGTTATTAAGGTATGGGAATTTGGCATCAGAGGCAAGATTTATACAAAAGTATCTTGACTACAATCAGTGAATGAATCAGTGAATGAATAGTAACCTAGTTACTAGATTTATCTGACATGCACATAAAAAAATCACATCCCAAAACTTTAATTCTCCTACTCACATTAACTTTCAACTTAAAAATATTTCTATCTACCTTTTTTTTAAACCAATTATCTATAAAAATCAATGTAATTTGCCATCTGGACTCAAAGTAAGTTTCTTCGGGATGGAGCATCTATGTTTTTGTCTTTGAATAAATGCCTTTCTTGCATAAAGTAGGCACATTTGTTGAATTTAATTTGCAGCCCAATTAATTGACACAGTGTAAGCATTCAAGGATAGAAGACAGCCTTTGCTCACAAGCCTTCAGTCTTTGGGAAGACTAAACTCTTGATATATTAACAAAATTTAGTTGATTCTAGGCTCCTTTAGGGTCGGAATGTCTTTTTTTCTTTTTTAAAAACAAACTCTCTCTCTCCTGGTACATAGTAAGTACAAAGTTGTCTATCCAGCAGGCACTTAACATCTATTAAATTAAGCCCAGTTACAAGGTGCTAGGTGGAAATGTTAATTTTTAATTGGTCCTGTAAAAACCCTGAATACAGAATGAACTTTTTGCTGATGATTTAGAATTATTCTATTAGTATGAAACATTTTTGTGTAAAGAGGTGAAAACGGATTACACCAAGGTAACAGTTCCTGACAGTTATATGGAGATAAAATAGGAATGCAGATCTTTGAACAAGGCCCACATCTTTTTTAAGACTGTCTCCCCATCTCATCCAGGATGGAAGTGCAGGGCACTACTGATTGGCATGGAAGGTCTGACTTCCTCTTTGGGCAGGTTTGCCTGTCTTTAGGCAATCTGCTTCCCCTTCTCACAGGGGAGGGAAGTTACCATACTGAAGCCAATACCCAATCAGCATAGTCCACTGCAGTTCAAAACTCTCAAACCAAAGAGATTCACCGGCCTCAGCTTCAGTATCCAAAGCATCTGGGCTTCCAGGCATGTACCACCCTCACACCCATTCCCATCCCACAAAGTGGTAAATGATATGTCTCAAGACCTGTGATTATCCATAATGGTACTTTAGTAGAGAGAAAAGGATTAATAACCAATGAATTTCCAGTTTTATTTTTTAAAAAATCATTTAACAAGAACAATAACCAACTTTAAATTCAAATGAACAAAAAGTCTATTTAAGATGGATTAATTTACAACAAAATCTTCAACTTAAAATATTAGCCCTTCTGTGTAGGACCAAGGAGGCCAATAAGCTCCAGTTCAAACAGCAGATTTGCACAATTAATATATTTTCCTGCATTTGGTGGCACAAAAACATATAGGTTATATAACTCCTAATGAAACAACCCCCATCTAGGAGTTATGCAAAAAACAGTCACAGGAATGACCTGAAATTCCCTTTCCAAGGTCACTCAAATTCTGTCACCAGTTATTTGTAAATCTATGTGACAGATACTCTGACATGGAAAATACCACTTTGAACCAAATGGTTCCTTTGGAAAACTAAATGATATGAAAAACATTAGCCATGTGCTGGTAGAATCACAGACTGACTGCTGGAACTGGAAAAGTCTCTAGAGCCCGATTCTATCCTTGTTGAGGCCCAGACCTTTAGTGACTTATGTAAGGTCACATAATTACATGTAATTTAGTGATAAAGATGAAAGATAAATTAAAATCTTGTCAGTTCCAAATATAAACCACCAGAACTTAATATTCACCCCAGTGAATGCCTCTTTCCTCTTGTGATTCCTTAGTTCATATTATTAAGTTAAACTACCTGATTTTTTCACTTGTTTCTTGTGTCCTAGGAGCCAGACACGCTACATTTGGGTTTAAGGATTATGGAAGGCTCAGGGGAAAAGAAACCTCCCAAAGTTAAAATAAAATTAGATTACTCTTACTGAAATTCAGGAGGAGGAGAAAGAACCTGAAATTTTTCCATGAATATGTTGAATTTTTTTTTAAAAATCACATCTCATTAAGGTAAAGATGAAAGAATTCACAGCTTTAGGACTACACTTGGGATCTATGAACAAGGAGCTGCAAATTCTTGTTCTCAATTCTACCTTTCACAAGCCCAGTACTGTGATGTTTTGAGGATAGTCCTTTATTACCAAGGTTCTATACTAAGCTGTTTGAATATAAACAGCACTTCATAGAAACATTTATGGAGTAAACACTATCGCATCAGCCAAACAGGATATTCTATCTTCATACTCTTGAACTTACCACCTTTAACAGCAAAGACCAGCTGCAAAGGGATACAAAATTTTTGACAGCTAAGGATTTAACTTGGGTGAAGCTGAGCTCTTAGAATTCAAGGTAACTGAGGGGAGGTCTCAGCATCCATAAACCTTCATAATCCATATTTTAAGTCCAACTACCTTAGATGGCTTAACTTGCTCACAACAGTTAGGTTTATCACCTATCCAGCCAGATATCACACCTAAATTTAACAAAGATCTAACAGGAAACCATTTCTAAATCTGGATTTTGGCCCAGTTCAGCCCAACTGTGCTTAGGACATACTGAAGAAAAAGCTTGTGGAGTGAAAGATACATAGCAGACGTATGAGACTGTGAAACTTGTAATTGTATAGCTCCCTATAGCACACAGATTGTTCAATATGTCTCACAGTTTTAAGAGAAAGGCCACGTGTGGCCTTCCTTACACAGCAGGCACATAGGCATATAGCAGATGTTTAATAAATGATGGACTGATACGCTATACCTCCACCTAACCTTAGGCAATTCATACGTAACAATAACTCCCATACTCTGTCCTCCAAAGGGAACACAGACCCGTGTAGTCTCAGAGTTGCATATACACAGATGATAAAATTGGCTGGAATTAGGAGTGGCAGTCTGTGGCCCTGGCAGAACTTCTCTTTGCACAGCAATAAATGGCTAGCATCACTACCAAACCCGTGATCCTGGTCTCATTAGCACCATACTCTCTAGCCAAGTGAACTAATAACTAGCTAGCTCAGGATGGTAAGGCACATCCTGTCCCTCAAATAGTATGTATAACAGTCAATATAAGCCAGATGAATGTAGTGAAGTTGGCAAAAATAAACTTTAGCTGCTTATTATTCATTCTATTAATATATTGCATTTAACACTTGAAGATCATTGGTTGCACCTTTTGAAGAAAATCTCACCTAAATTATAATAAGGCCTATACAACTGCAAATGTGTGGTCCAAATTAGCATATGATGGCTGGCTGCTTCTTAAGCACTTTTTTTCTTCTGTATAAGAATAAAAGCTAAAGGAAACATTAACTACAAATTGCACATACAATTTGCAGGCAATAACTTTTGGGGGGTTGGGGAGGGACGCAAAAAAGTGGAGACTGAGTAAAAAAATGATTCTTAAGTATTTCTAGTTTCAGATTCTCCCTGTAGATTCCATAAACAGGTCTCTGGAAAACCAGACACAACATATCTGAGATGAAGATATCAGATATCATACATGCCTGCCTACCCATCCTACACAAGCGGACTGCCCATAGACATCCTGATACGGTTTCCTCACTGAATAAAACAGGAAAATTCTACAAATCACTTCTGAAAAAAGGCACTTCATTAGGAAAGGTGTTTCTAATTACACAGAAGTAGAGGAGAACCAGAGTAGACACAAAATTTACTATTAGCAAGAGGTCCTCTAGCTGAGATTGGAGAATGCTTTCATATTTGTGATAAGAGGAGCAGATGCCAGGTTAGCATATGTAGCCAAATAACATCATAAACAAAACCAGACAGTGACTTCAACAAAAGTTATTCATAACATTGCTCCAAATATCAACACAGGTCCAAGTTCAACATTAAAAAAGAAAAATCACCAGCAGTTGGTACTTTGGAGCTCAATATGCTGTTTTCAACAGTATTTCAACAGGTTCTCTGTTTCAGAGCATGAATTTCTTTTCAAATGAAAAACCTAGAGAGGAGAAAAAAAAAAAAACCAACCAAACAACCCAGAGAGAAAAAGCCCAGGGAGAAGAAACACTGGTAGGGAGAGGTGCATTTCTCTGGTCAGACAACCAAGTGAGGAGGTAGTTGTTCTGAGAACTTCTCAGGCAGAGAACAGACAAGAGAACGCTGTGCTGATCTACTACTGGGCACCGGGAAAGTGGCAAGGGGTTTCACAGGGAGACTGAAGATGAGTATTTAATACTTCTCCTCCAGGTAAGTCAGGACCAGGGTGTCAGTGCAGCTGAAACAAAAGAAGAGTTTATGTAAATGACAAAACTTCGGTAAAAGAGGAAAACATGTAAATGATGGTTGCCAAATGACACATGTCCAAATCTGTCCTACCTCAAAAAGTGGCTCTTTTCTGAGGATGAAACTCCAAACTCCATCTATTAGGGGGAAAAAAACCCCAAACACACTGCTTATCTATCATCTATTATGGAGTCAACAATTCCTTCAACAACAAGGTAGCATGTCATACATGTCATAGACATATTCCTGCTGCTAACATTGCGAATTATCATAAAATACTCAGGTCTTAAATGGCTGCACTATACACAAGTTCATGCTTTAGTGTTCTGGGAAAGTTCACTACTAAATAAAATGCTTCATCCCTTTAAAAAGTTTATGAAAACCGAGAGCTAAATAGCAGCTTAGAGAAAAGTGAAGAAAAAATAAGAAAATTAAGAAGGCGGCAAACCATAGGTGATATGCCCAGACTTCCCATGGTCAATAAGGTGGTTTCTGAGATGTACGATTTAGTAAGGCAAATAATCCGTCTGTAAATCTCAAGAGAATTTTTACACTCACTTGGTTACATGACTGCACACGAAAGACCCAGACAGCCTTGAGTCCCATCGTCACTACTGTTGAGTTTTTTCATGCGGTACTGCCGTATTTCTCTGACCAGTGTGTAAAACGCATCTTCAACACCCTAAAAAAAGTCCTCATTAGTGATTCTTTCTCCCATACGCTATATCCACCTTTATCTAGGTGAGAAGGAAGCAGGCCTTCTCAATACTGACATAAGATTTTCATTACTGTGGTGGTTCCTGGTAAAATAAAATGTTTCAAAAGAGGAACCCTCCAGTGCTCTGCACATAGGCATTTAATAAGTATCTGTTGAAGGGAAAAAGGGGTACAGACATCTATCCTGGTCTACAGGAAAATAGAAGGGGATAAGAGGAAGGGGGGGTGGGCATGGGTGATAGAAGGGAGGGCAGATGGGGGAAAGGGTATTCAGAATGCAGGCTGCCTTGGGTTGGGGGGAGGGGCAAGATGGGGAGAAAATTTGGAACTCAAAATCTTGTGGAAATGAATGTTGAAAACTAAAATAAATAAATAATAAAGAAAAAAATAAAAAAAATTAAGTATTAAGTTGAACTGAACTGAAGATGGCCTAATATTTCAAAGTGTGCAAATAAGAATTCTCAGGATAACAGAGTGACAACTAAGCGAAGACTTCTGTAGCAAAAACAAGCAAAAGGGAGGGAAGGGTGATTCTAGGGGTAAAAAAATCCCTCTTAATTCTAAGATTCCATGCTGGTGGGCTGAAGTATTTTCAATATGCTTTCTCTATGCCTTGCTATAAAATAAATTTGTTACAAGAGGAGAGGAAAAGACAATGATTTCACTGGTAAAGGGAATTCCCTTTACCCTGCCTAGGCACTCCATCACCTTCTCCACATCCTATAGTCCTAGAGAGCTGCAGAAAGCCTGATAGGACCAGTGACCTGCTCAGGATGTAATAGGTAGGATGGGTCAGAACCAGAACCTGAATCCTGGCCTTCCTGGCTTTGAGACTGGCTCTCTTTCCACCATGCCATATCCACCTGGCACATGACAATAACTGCTAACAGTCTTTCTGTAAAACTAAACTGCACTTCCATTGTAGTCACTGCACTGCACTTCCATTTTGTCATCTAAATCATGAACTCAATACCAAAAAGAACTAAGACATAAAATAAAAACTAGTGGTGATGGAGACTGGGAGAAGGTGGCAGTGGGGGGTAGAGGTAAGAGAGCCATATGAGACTGGAAAATAATAACAGCAATTTCTATTTATATTCCAGGTGAAAATAATGATCTGTTACTAAAAGGAAAACTGACACGCAATCTGTGGTGAGGGAATGCCCCTATTAAACCTAATAGACCTATTCCATTATTCAAATATTATTCAAAACCCAGATCAGTAAACAAAGTTATGATTCCCACTTCTTCTACCCTAAAACATACCCCAGATAATCCCCTGTGCCTTCCATTATTTGCCCAGGATATAGATGAAGAGGAGGGCCCTATCGTACCTGTCTGGTCTTGGCTGAGGTTTCAATGAAAGGAATTCCATAGCTCTTGGCTAGTTCGTGAGCCTGTTTTGTGTCAACCGTCCTTGTTGGCAAATCACATTTATTTCCCACCAGCACCATAGGTACATCATCTGAGTCTTTCACTCGTTTAATCTGTTCCCTAGAAAAATGGAATAGGTTATAACAAAGTAAGAAGAGCCAAGCCTTTACTAGAGAAAAAGCACAGCTTAGGATATGGATTATATCCAGTTTAGTTTGTGCTAAATATTAAGTTTTGCTTTCGTCACTTAAAAAATTACTCTCATTTCCACTCCCACAACCTTTGCCAATCCAGTTTTCAATTCATCAGGATCCCTCCAAAAACACTTTATTCTCTTTGCTCACTAACCTAACACATATCCCACATATGATCAATACTGCTATCATCTATATAAGAAAAGTATAAAACAGAGGTCCTTTTCTCAAGACTTTATAGATAGGGAGTCAAGACTAATGCATTATTTGAGAGCAACCACATATGACTGAGCTCCAAGTAACTTGGCACAGATTTATTACAACAGGAGTTCAGAAAAAGTAGAGGTAATTGGGTGGAGGGGTATTGGGACAGGAAGGGAAAGGCTTCATGAAAAAGGTTAACTCAAGCTGGGCCATGAAGTTTGGACGAAATTTGAAAACACAGGGGAGGAGGGTGAAGCATCCCAGGTTGGAGGAAATCAGCACAAGCGAAAGGCACATCCTGCTGTGGAGGAGCACATCAGGTAGACACCGAAGGAGTGTGGACTGGGGAGGTCAGCTTATAAAGGGTTCAGAAAGTCGAGTCATGTGGCCCCTCTCCAGTTATTTCCTCCTACTAGATATGGTAGGGAAGAGAGAGGAACTGGAAGTTCTGGAGTAGGTTAAGTGGCACATTGAAAACAAAAATTTTTAAAGATGTATTTGAGCAATGCTCCACAGAGATTCTACAAGTATTTATTCAGCAGTGCCTGCAAAACACTGGAGGAAAAAGCTCAGGGCTGGTGGCAGAGAGGAGGAGCGAGAACACTCAGCCAGGATTCAGAAGACAGTTACTCTACCGATCCTGACTGTGACATTACTTAGATATGTGACTTTAGTCAAGTCACAGGGCCTTCTGTCCTTAGTTTTTGTTATAGAATAGAGAGGTTCAAATGATCTCTGAGGTGTACAAAGACTCAGGCTCTTTCCCTTTGCCTTCTGCTTGATCTAACTTCACTATAACAGACTGTAAGTCCCTTCACGAAAGAGTTTAATTTTTGTCTTTGTATCCCAAGTGCCCAGAAAAATGCCTGGCACGCAGTGAGTGCTTAAAAATGCACCTTCATTTATCTGTTGTCATACTTTCATTTTGCTCTTGAATGTCCTTTTTTTAATTCAATTTCCAAAAGAATGTTCCTTAGAACTGGCAGCTGTGGGTGAAATCGTGATGATACCCAGATCTCCCATCTCCCACTCTTCACCAGCAGGCTTTGAGTACAAGTCCTTTTAGTGGTCCTGTGTGCCCTCGCTTGACAATTCTTCCATTTATACATTAGGGTACATGCTAGAGACAATGGTCAAATCCTGGAACACGTCTATCATGTGCTAACTCCCAGTATCGCATTCCAATACTGAGTATAGCCCTAAGAATCCCTGTATCTGTTTTCATTTATTTTGCATGTAACATGAAGCCTAAAGCCACCTTTCTGCTCTAATTATAACACAGAATCTTCTGAGTGCACCCACCACATGGAACAGTTAGATATTATCTATCTACAATAAACAATGTTCCCAGTACCTGTAAAGGTTAATATCTGCAAATGATTTGCTATTGTTGATAGCAAAGACACAGAGAAAGCCTTCGCCTGTCCTCATATACTGGTCTCTCATGGCACTGTACTCTTCCTGTCCAGCAGTGTCAAGTATGTCCAACAAACAGGTTTCACCATCAATAACCACTTGCTTTCGATACGAGTCCTAGAGAAAATAAGTTGTTTTTATTTAAAAACAAAACACCAGAGTAGTGTTAATGCTGTTGCTAAATGAAGTTTTTTTTAAAAAAAATATTCTTTCTAACAGGCTCATTTTTTCTAAGCAGTTTAAATGCATCAATATCAAATCAACAACCTTTAGCCTCAGTGCTGTTGCAGTGAAAAATGTGTCGCACCTCTATGCCTGGACAAGACAAAGATATTCTTAATAGCCCAATGGTAGCTCAGGATAGTGTGAAGGGAAAAAGGCAAAGTGAGTTCACAGAGCATTTTTGCTAATTGCACTTCAAATTCCCCATTTAATCACTTCAGAGATACTTATCTCTATAACCTAAGACTGGATTTGAGCCTTCAACTCCTGTTCAGAGAACATATTTATATTTTTCATTCAAAACCATTTTTAGTGTGACCCTGATCAAGGAAGAAAGGAAGTAGTGGCCAAGAATGATTCTGGGAGGGCTGACTCCCTGGACCCCAGTTCTGAGAATGTTTCTTCAACAGTGGCCCCAAAAAACACCACATGAGATAGAGAAAAATTTCTCTACATAGTCATCTATTAATCTAGATACGTGTGTAGATGATACAAAAATAACTTATAATTGACTCTGTATTTCAATATTTATGTTTGGACATGGGTGTGTTTGATATTCTTGGAATTTAGTTCAAACAAAATAATGAAATCACACTGTTTTGACTGGACTCGCCAGGCTCCGTAAAACTGAAATTGCCCCATCTTCTCCCCTGGGTCAATTTCTCTTCTTCATTCACTTCATTTTGGGTATCTTCAATTCTCTTTTGGGCTGATACGTTTTCCTCTCTCAAACAGTCTCTGGGGCAAGCAAGGTAGTCAAGAACTTAGGTAACAGCCAAGACCTTCTAGTGCGCTAAGTAAAAATAAGACCGGGTGCTGTCAAAACTAAAAGTAAGATTTTGCCACAAATCATTCACGATATCTGTTCCTAATAACGTCTACTCTGAAATCAATTTGCAATGCTTAGCTGAGTTCTGAAAGAAGGACGACGACGGATGATAAATTTCGTAAAGTCCTCAGTAAACACTGCACAGTCTAGGTATTATGTGCATTTTTCCGACATGCAAAAGGATTTGAAAAGCACACATAAGTCTGAGACAACCAAAACTGAGCAGAAATCTGCATGGCATCCCCGGCTTCTTCCAGAAGGAAATCGGGGTTCCACCGCGCTTTAACAAACCCCAAATCCCGACACCCTCGCCTTCAGCGCGGACGCCCCTCCGCTGGGACGGTCTCCGTCAAGCTCCCCATGGCACCGGCTGCTCTCGGACCCACCGGCGCTGGGCTCGGCACCGCGCGCGCAGCGTCCCCGGCCCGGCCGCCTCCTTTGTGTCCTGGGCCCCCGTGGCCCGGGCGCAGGGGCCACCCGCGGCGCGGGGAGGGGGCTCATACCTCTATCGTGGGATCATACTCGTCTACGAAGTGGTTCTGGATGAGCTGGATGGTCAAGGCGCTTTTCCCCACACCGCCAGCTCCGACCACCACCAGTTTGTACTCGGTCATTTCACACCAGCAAACACCTGTGGTGCGACAGCGGCTTAATTGGCGAGGGGCTCCCCGGCCCCCGGAGCGGAGCGGAGCGCGAGGCCCCGCGCGACGCCCGCGACCCCGCCCGCCCCGCCCGGCTCCCCAGTCTTCTCCCGGGCCCGGCCCTAGTTCCGTTCCCCGCCCGGCCCCGAGGCCTTTGTCCCGCGCCCGCTGTTAGCCAACTCCTCCCGGGAATCGGGCGTCCCGTCCCCGAGCCCCACCTCGAGCTCCGCCGCCTCAACTTCGGTCGGACTCAGCCCCACACCCGGTAAATGTGCCGGAGACCCCGGAACCGCCATGAACAGCCCCCACCCGCGGAGCTACACTTCCGGCCCCACCCTTGACGTCATCAGTCCGCACCGACTCAGCGGCAATCCCCGCCCCGGCCACGTGGGGCCACAGCCGGCTCGGTCACGCGCGAGCCCCACCCAGCCCCCTTTCCCCTCCCCTCCCCCTCCCCCACTAGGCGTCTCGATAATGAAAGCGCTCGGTGGCTATAGGTTTTTTGTCTCAAAATCAGTAAAACTTTATTCTATTCCATTCTTTCGCCATTAACAGAAAATCGGAGAAAGCAAAAAGTGTTTCGTGTTTACAAAGATAAACGCGGCCTCGTCTTTCAGAGCAGATCATAACTTCAAAACGGAAGGGGAAGACAAGGGGTGCGGGGCGCCCCCCACCCCCGCCGGGCAGGCCCAGTCGCCCCCGGGCCCGTCCCGCCTCCTCGGGCCCGGGGGCCAACCGGCTCCCTGGGTACGAGTCGGGAAGAGCCAGCAGGCCCGGGTCGGTCTCTTAGAAGGCCCTGGGCCCAGGGCAGCTGCTTAGAAAAAAAAAACAGGATTCATTTCAGGCACAACTTTTTTTTTTTGTTTTGTTTTTGTTTTTAAATCAGTAAAAGAAACTGGGGTCTAGAAGCTGCAGTGTCCTAAGCAGCAAGTTTGTGCATCATCCTTTTGTTTTTTAAATATGTTTAAATTACCACACTCTGATGGCACACCTCATCCAAATGAAATTCTGCACCATACATACTAATCATAGTAAAGTCATTAAAAAAAAAAAAACCCTTAGATATACTCTGGAAGATACTTCTCACTGAAATCTAACAACTTCGCTAAGTGGACTGTGACAAGATTATAAATGAGATATGAAAAATAACATTTTAACATTTGGCCATCAACTTAAGGAAATGGTTTGAATGCTTACACAAATTTTTTAATTTTTTAAAAAAGGTAATATAGTCTACCCTCATATGGTCCTCAGAATTAAAGCATAATGAACAGGAAATAACAGGAAAATAATGCAACTGAGAGCTAAGGCAGAACACCTTGCCAGAAGTAATGAAGGTAGAGTATACACTAAATATCAAGTGCAGAATTTCATAAGGTCGACCAGATAACTGTCTATATTTTTCACTTACACAGGCGAAGTAGTTTTGCAATTACCAGTTGCGTTAAATGCACCAAATAAAGCTTCTAAAATTGATACTATAAGGCGCCACCTTAAGTTCTCCAGGCTGCAACTGTGCATAATTTTAAAATGGTTTTCTTAAATTTATTTATTTTTTTTTTAAACATAACATGAGGAAGGTGTTAAAACTGGTGTAATAGCTCCATAGAATAAGTATTCCAGATTTTGGGAGGGATGAAGAGGGAGATATTCAGAACCCTTCACCAGAACCCCCCCCACTTGATCATATCTGATTAAGTGATGTGCTTTGTAGATGGGGTTAGTCAATGACACCAGCTTGACGGATCTTTCTTTCTGCACCAAATCCCTGTAAAGAAATAACCTTCGTGATTAATTGCAATTTTTAACTGTTCATGGCATTTAGAAAATTAATTTTATAACTAAATTCAGAAACCACCTGCATGCAAATTCAATTGAAAACAAAATATGAGAGATTTATAGTTTTGGCCAACAGCTGAGTTCTTCATGGTGGAGTCTGCATAAAAATCTCTCACCTAACTATAAATAATACTTTTAACAGCAGCCATAGTGTGCTAAGCACACCTCTATGAAGACAATTTCTATCCAGTCAGAAGCACTGTGGGCCAGCAGCCTAGGCCCCCCTTGTGCTCGATGACCTTCCTGCTTCATTGAGCACATCTTCATATCAGCATGCTAGGAAACAGAAACTCTGCCTATTGATTGCTCCACATCTAAGCTTCCCAAATCCTGGTCCAGTATCATACCATTGAGTTATCTGGTCCCCTTGGCTGACGAAGAACCATTAGGCGAGGAGCACTGGCATCATCTAGAGTGATGCTCTTCAAGCGATTGACCAGTCGGTCAGGACGTGGAGCTGCAACAGCCTTGGGGCCTTCACTGTAATACATAGTCAAGAGATCAGAAGAAGCAAGGCCTGGTGAAAAAACAGCAAGTATACTTCCAGATGTACATGTTTTCCATTCCAGTTGTGGAATTAATTATTCATTTTAATTATGGGGACTCTGAGTAATGGGAAAAAATTAGCCAGACAAAAATTTGTGAGACAAGACAAGTTTGTGGCTAAATGTTACTTGGCCAAATTCTCCTGGGAAAAAGCTACAAGAATCACTAGACCAGGGGTTCTTAAAATAGAGTCCATAAACTCCTTAAGTATTTTGGTAACTATTTCAATATAATTGACTTCCCTTGTAATTCTATGTTATTTTATTCTATTAATTTAAAAACATTATTCTGAGATGGGATTTGTGAACATAAAATAAGTCTTAACCTTAACTGCTGCTCTGGATTACAAACAGAGAGACAAATTCCATAAAGGTATAAAACAGATAAGGGACAGCGAAGTGGTGCAGCAGATGGAGTACTGGGCCTGGTAGTTGGGAAGACTCCTCTTGAGTTAAAATTTAGCCTCAGACACTTACTGCATGACCCTGGGCAAGACACATAACCCTGTTTGCCTTGTAAAATAAGATGAAGAAGGAAATGGCAAATCACTCTGGTATCTTTGCCAAGAAAGTCCCAAATGGGGTCACAAAGAGTCAGACATGAATAAAATGACTGAACAACAAAAATAAAAGTGATAACACAAGTGAAAATTAATAGAAAAATGTAAGGTATTTACTGTTGACAAAAGTAAACAGCTTCATCTTTAAGAGTAGATTCAACCACAAATCCCTTCAGGTAGTTCTTGCTAAAATACAAGTTATCACTCTATCCAAAGAGCACCTCCCCTAACCAAAAAACAAAACAAAACAAAAACCAAAAAACTTATCAAATTCTTATTTATATTGAGAAGATTCATGAACTCATGACTATTGAGTTGGCAATGAGGGAAGGATAACTGGAGGCTAAAAACAAGAAATACAGGTAATGTGAAGAAATAAAAATAAATGAAATAGGCAATAAACAGTATCATCTTAAAATGTACTACAGAATTGTAAAGGATCATAGGAAACTAAACTGAGAGCTGGCAAATACCTCACTCAGATCATCTGATCCAACCCCCTCATTTTAATAATGAAAAAATCAGTGCCCAGAAGTGAAGTGTTTTGTCCAAGGCAGTATCAAAACTAGGTTTTGAACTCAGTTCCCCTAACAACAGGTACAGAAGTGGGGGATACAGGTGACATTAAACCCCATTGGCCATCACATTATTGCCTCCTGGGTGATATAAAAACGCTTTTCCTTGGCCTTTAAGACCCATCACAATCTACCTTTTCAGGTTTATTTCACATGACTTTCCTTTCCCTATGCACCAAATTTCAGCCCAATTGGACAACTTTTTGTTTCTCAAATCCTGTACCCATCTCTCCCAGGCTCTCCCCACGCACCTCCACCTCTCCAGGCTGAGCTCATGTGTCATCTTCTCCAGCAGGCCTTTCCTGCCCACCCCCACCCCCCTGAAAGAAACTGTCCTAAGTGCTTTTCTTCCTCAAATTTTCTTCAATTTACTTGTTTACATGTTGTATACCTCAGCAGAATTCTTCTCCCAATACAAGGCAAATTTCTAAGGATAGAGACTGTTTTCCTTGTCTTATCCCCAGCACCCAGCACTTAATACTGATTTTTCCCAACTGTGGATATGGGACCCCCCAAGATGCTGTTCTGGGGACCCTTGCCTTTTCTTTATCTTCTGACTGGTGAATTCATCAGCTCCTTCAGGTACTATCACTCCCATGCAGATGACTCATAAATCTATACACTCAGCTGAGGTCTCACTCCTGAAGAGAAACCCTACATCATTATTAAAGATTCTGAACTGGATTTCCCACATGGGTATCTCAAATGCTTAAAACAGCTCTCAACTTTGACCTTAAACTCAACCCTCTCCAAAACCTACCTAATTTCTTGAGGATATCACTTTTTTCCCGGGCTCTCAGATTCATACCCTCATCGTAGACTTCTTCATTCTCTATCGGCTCATATATCTTTGCTAGTTGGTTGCCTCTTGCCATTCCTATCTCTACAACATCCCTCATGTTCTGTCCCCTTCTATTTACAAGGTCATTACCCTTGTTCCAGACCTCATCACCTCTTGCTTAAGACTACTGCAACAGCCTCCCTTATGTGCCTCTCTCTTCTTCACTCTAATGTATCCTCCAATCAACTCTCAAAGTGGTTTTTATTGAGCAGGGATCTGGCCATGTCACTCCCCTAATTCAGTAAGTTATACTGGCTCCCTATTACCCCCAATATAAAATAAACTTCTATTCATAAACATTGGCCTTTCCAGTCTTACACTCTCCTCTCCTCTCTGTACTCTGAGACAGTGTCACTCGCCGCCTTGACGCTCCATCTTCCTAACTCCACGCACGCTTTTTCGGTGGTTCTCCCCCATGACTGGAATGCCTCCTTCATCAACTCCTCCTGGCTATCTTCAAGTCTCAACTAAAATTCCATCTTCTGCAAAAAGACTCTCCCAGTCCCCCTTTGATGCTAGTGGTCTTCTCCCTGTATTCATCTCCAGTTTATTGTGTGTGTGTGTGTGTAGATATATGCATGTTGTACATAGTTATTTGCATGTTATCTCCGCCATCAGACTGAGAGCATCTTTGAGGGCTGGGACGGTTTTTGCCTTTCTTTCTATTCCCAACATGTGCATAGTGTATAATATTAATAAACAACTATTAACAATAGCTAATATTTACATAGCATTTAATATGTGCTAATAAGCACTTTACAATTATTATCTCATTTGAGCCTTACAAACAACCCTGGGAGACAGGTGCCTTTATTATTCCCATTTTACAGATGAGGAAACCGAAGCAAACAGGCTAAATGATTTACCCAGGGTCATAAAGCTAGTGTCTGAGGATGAATTTAAACTCAGGCTTTCTGACTCCAGGCCCAGTGTTATACATACACTGTACCACTTAGCTGACTA